GGTAGTGTCTGTCAGCTGTGATAAACCCAACTGGTCACAGCACGGTTCTGAAAAAGTCTACAAGTTTTAGCATCATTAAAGACCTAGACTCCTAGGTATATCAATTACTGGCTGAGAATTCAGCAAATTATTTAAAAAACTCTGAATAGGGGCCGGCCCCATGGTGTAGCGGTTAAATGCGTGTGCTCCGCAGCTGGCGGCCCGGGTTCAGATCCCGGGCGTGCACCAAGGCACTGCTTGTCAGGCCATGCTGTGGCAGCATCCCACGTAAAGTGGAGGAAGATGGGCACGGATGTTAGCTCAGGGCCAGTCTTCCTCAGCAAAAAGAGGAGGATTGGCATGGATATTAGCTCAGGGCTGATCTTCCTCACAAAAAAACAAAACAAAACAAAACAAAATGAAACTCTGAATATCAGTTTCTTTATTTGTAAAATGGAGTAGAACTGTCTACATTGTAGTGTTATTGTAATTTGTGTACGTACAGTGCCTAGTGAATTGCCTGGCTCCTAGTAGGTATTCTATAAATCCTAGCTCCTCCTTTTATTTATCTTCTGTCTTCAGCCTCATTTCAGTGCAGACATATAGTAGGAATTCATGAATGTATGTTGAATTCCAATTAGTTTTTTAAAAAGGAGCTAAGTAGCTCTTGCTGCTTAAATGGTCTAAAGGCGCCATTTTCTTTTAATCTATACTAAAATAAGAATCTCCTGGAAGGACAAATCAGATTGGTTCCATAAAGCTGTATAAATACTGTGTGTTAATTTATAGGAAAACTCCTTTTAATTACCCGTCTTAGAAGTTTTTCTTACTCTAAACCAATATTTACTCATATAAATAAGCATTATTCAGCCTGTTGGTTTTGACACTTGAATTTTTAAGGAAAAGATCTGCATGTCCATGTGCATCTCCAAAGTATTTAGATCCTTGTAATTACTTAAAAAAATCCTCTTTGCATGTATTTCATCTGTAAGTATTATTGCAGTTATTCACTGAGGAGAATGTAGAGGTCCTTATACCATTCTCAAAAAATGGATGTGCTATAATTCCGGTACTCTATCTTATATGAGCAAGTGCTCATTTAGCTCTGTTTAGAGATCCTTAAAAAATCATAGGCAAGAACTTCTGTTGAATTTTAAATAGCATTTAGTAAATAATGACAAATGTTGATATAAGTGTATTATAAAAACTTTATATCTAAAAAAAATAATGTCAAACAACTAATATTAAAAATTTGGTAGCTAAATAACATTTCAGGAGATGGATCTATTGCATTGATAATTACCATAATATTTGAATTGCAAAAACCTCTTCAACTTAATGAATACAGCCCTTTTTCACTTAAGGGTCCTATAAAAATCTAAAGGTTTTCAAGCCAAATGAATTCTGTTTAGAATTTTGTTTAGAAAATACTTCTCAGAGCATAAAGTTTGAATTTTATATCCTTGTAAAGGCTGAGTTTTTTTCTTTTCTTAAGTTAGCCCTTTAGAAAATTAAATCTTGAAGAGTAAAAGACATTGTTATTCTACTTTAACTTTGCTGATGAGTGGAGATCTTTTAATCAAGAATAATTCAAGTGGGCCTTTACATCTGTCCTTGCCATTAACTTACTAAAAGGTGTGTGCTTGTTAAGTTACATCCCAGCCTTATATGTCCTTAGAAAAAGATATTATTCCATGAGTAAGACCAGAATGTTACCTTATAGATAAACTTTGATTAGCACAACTTGTTAGTTTTAATTCTATAACATTGTGTTCTTTGATACTCACTAATGTTGTGTATGTTTTTTTCCCAATAAATTTTAAAAGAACTTATTGAAGCATGATTGATATACAGTAAATGGCATGTATTTAAAGGATACAATTTAAAAAATATTGACATAAGTATACATCTGTGAAATCAATATAATGAACATTTCCATGACACCCAAAACTTTGTTCATCCCCTTTTTTCAACTCTCCCTACCATCTCTGTCCCACCCCAACCTTTCCCCTTCCCCAGGCAACCACTGATTTACTTTCTGTTACTATAGATTAGTTTGTTTTTTTCAGTTTTATATAAATTGGATCACACAATATGTACCCCCCTCCGCTTTTGTTGATCCAGCCTCTTTTACTCTGAGTAATTATTTTGAGATTTAGCTAGTTTGTTCTGTGTATGAATAGTTTATCCTTTTTATTGCTGAGTACTATTTCATTGTACAGATATGCCATAGTTTATTTATCCATTGACCTAATAATGGACATTTGGATTGCTTCCAATTTTTGGTTATTACAAATAAAGCTGCAGTTTTTAGCTGTTATGAAAAAAGCTATTATAAACATTGAATGTATTTTTAAAATTATATTATTTTCGATTTTTACCACTTACTGGCTATCACGGCTGTCAGCTCTTATCATACAGCAGTGTTTTTATGCACCTTCCCCAGCAGCTTGTAGTTAGGGAAGACTATGAAAATACCTAACTTTAAACCTATTTCCTGCCTTATACCCATTTTACTCATTCGAAGTATTGATTACGGGAAAGAAAAGATCTTATTTTGAATTTTGAAATTCTGACAGCCTGGCCAGCATTATCTTACCTTTTATAATATCCCTAAATAAAAATTTTAAATGTAACTGAATTAAAACCTCTAGTCCTTAATTAACCAAAGACTTATGCAAATACTTGCTTCACTATAATGGTGTTATGATGAGTATTTTTCTAAAGAGAATAACTGTTTCCTAATGACCATATTTTATTTCCATAAGTAAATGTGGCAATTGAAGTCTATTTTAGTTATCAAATTTTCTCTAAACAAGGAAATATAGAAAGGATCCTATAATGCAATACTTAAAAAAAAATTGAGACACTAATTTGTGGTTTTTATTATTGAGAAAACTTTTTACTGTTCTCATTTTTATACTTTTTTATTTTTTTTATTACTTTATAGATTTGACTTTTATTTATTTATTTTTTATTTTTT